TTTGCAATACTGCCCTCCATCTCATATCTAGTCCTATTGGTGTAGTCTTGTCGCTGAACTATTCCGAAACCGGGTGGATGAGTGAGGTAGAACTCCACACACTTATCAGTATCATTTTATTGAGGGGAAGATAGTGGAACGCCTCTGAACTCCCTATTGCTAACAAGATATTCGAAAATATATGAATACAAAGCAAAATGCAAAGAGTACCTCAATTACATGTTGCGGATGAAGGCACAGCAGCTGTTGGGCAATCTAAATAGTTATAAAAGATGACTACTCACTTATCAGGAGTAGTATAACTTGTTGTTCACCACACTTAAGCCATTTTTGCCTACGGGGCTGATGCATGTTTTCATGCTGCCTCCCTAGGCTGGACGCGCGGGATCTCTTCTGCGACGGCCGAATGTACCAGGACTCCTCGAAGCGCCGTCAAGGCAGACTGGGTGCTGGTGTGCGCTCCTGTCAGTTCATCAGTGCCAAAGGTGTTGTAGGCGGTGAATTTTCTCTCCTGGATTTGGAGTCTCGAAGTGAGTCCTCTTTTGACCGTCTTCCGCCTTTTTTCCTCGGTGGTGGATTCTTTAATTTTTTTGTAATTATTTTGGGATTTAGATTATGATGAGGTGCAGATTGTTCTTGAAATGGTGATGAACACTTTACGATTTTCACTGGTTTCAGTTGACTGGCCATAAATAATGATTCTATCCTAGTTGCTTACCAAAACATCCAAAACAAGATATTGCTTTAAAGCATTTGCCTAAATAATGAGTTTTTAAGCATTCCTTCTTATGCAACTGTCTGTTTGGGTCATTGCTTTAGAATCACTCAAACATGTCAACTCACTGCCGAGAACAATGAACGTCCACAACCAGAGTCGCAAATGAATACGCCCATGATAAATTTAAAAAATCCCATAACTAATTACTTTTTGAAAAAGTGCCTTTATTTGATACTTCGGCGTCGAACCTCTCTGTATTTTACCTTTTTTGAAGATTAAGTGGAGATCAAAATAGGAAATGTTGACCAGTTTCTTGAATTTCCGAAAATTAGGGATGACTCTTCTGCTTTAAGTGAAGGAATTTACTTTTCTATGTGTACCGTAACAGTTTTCAGTATAGTTTTTTTTTACTTCTAGACTGCGTTATTTAATTGCAAAAGCACACCAAAGAGGCAGAATATGTCGTTCGATATTCCTGAATCTGTTCCGTTTCAGGTTTTTATATCCATATATTCTCTTCTATATACTGAAAATGTTTGTACGGTGATCGCTTACGGCGTTTCAGAGGAAACTGATTACATCTCGAGATATCCCATACATAGTTGTTTACGGGTTCCAATTTCGGC